CCAGGAAGAAAGGAACCCAGCAAGAGAATATCACCCAGAACTGGACAAACAGGACTTAGCTTCCCGCCCTCCACCCCCTCTCCCCCGCTTTGCAGAGCTCTGGGAGAAGATAGGAAATGTGAATCTCAGAGAGGGGAAGCTGGGATTCTTAGTCACCACCCACTCGCACCAACCATCAGCTGAAGGCAACTCCTGAGGACATTTAATTCCCTAGCACTGTGGTCTGTCCTACAGAGATTGGAGGTACAGTGGCTAGAACACATCCTCAGAGAAAGACAGATGCTGGCAATAAAATTGAGGGCATAACCAACAGGGAAATCTGGGGGCTATGGCAAGATACCAATGATTTCTGTACTAGGAGAAGCTAGTAGAACTCACCAAGGGCCACCCTCAGGAAGAGCAAAGCAGAGTAAAGGCTAAGAGTCAGGAGCCACGAACCAGGGACCCATTCTATCATCCTAGCTCTTTTCCCAGGAAGTTTTAGGGAATCCTGCTGTATGAGAGGGCCTCCAGGCTTGTTCTGAAGTTGAGCTCTTCTTGGAAGGAGAGTCTTCTCTGAATATTGTGAGCCTTGCCCCCTCAGGAAGAGAACACCATTCTATGGAGATTATCTGTATTGAAGTTGGGCCCTTGGCAAGTTATACTCCTGGAAAGCATAGGTGTGGCTTCATACAGGGGATATACCTTAGCAAGAAGCATGTGGCATCCTGGCACGTGATATATCAGAGCTCAGATCATGGCAGTCCTATAGACTCATTGTGTAACTGTGTGACCTTGGATATCCATTGATCTTTGGGCCATGTGTCCTGTCCTGTAAACTCAGAGGCTAGCCTGCTCCACAATAAAAATCTGTAACTTCAAAGGCCATGTCAGATTCAGATTTCATTTCCATTCACTTTTATTATGCTCCCCCACCCCCACCCCCGGAATCCAACCTCATAGGTGAGAAACAGGTCAGAGAAATGGAGGGGACTTACTATACAGGTCACCAGAAGTTAACTGAGAGAACACAGACTACAGCCTGTTTCTCTTACTGACCTCCTGTTCAAGACTCCAATATACCAGAACCCAGCAACTTTTCTAAGATTTCCCCTAAGGCTGAGGGAAAAGCCTCACCAAATGGGTCTGAGCATTCATGTTTTACCTTCTCTGCTTGGCTCTATGGTCTAGGAAGCTGGTCTCTGAGGATCATATGAGATTCTCAAAGTATCACTAGAGAACTTAAATAAGACTGCTGGGTGTTGTCCCCGCCTTCTGATGCTAGAGGTTCAGGGAGGTACCTGATCATTAGCAATTCCAATGAGCTCCAGAGTAATGCTGCTACTTCTGACCATGGACCACAGCTTGAGGGCCACTGTGCTGGCCCTGACCTCTCTCTGGTATCTAGCTGGGTTCAGCTAGCAGATGCAAAGGCATAGAGTAGGTGGAGGCAAGAGAGAAGGGTCAGGGAATTTATTCCTCAGTTCCCATTTTTGGAGTTGCCTCCAAAGGACACGCCTGTGCTCAGGTAGGCTCTGTCTCCAGGTCCTGGTGATTTCTCCCTCCAGAATCCTTGGTGGTTCCTAGACTACTCCTTTTATGAAGGATCACATCATTACTTCTCCTAAAGGATGTTATCTGGGGGTCCCATCTATTTCCTGCTGGGATCCTGACTGATCACAGGATGGTGCCATTTTATGGAATCTGCAGCCCTTGAGAGACCTTCCTTTTCTATAGTCATCTCTGTCCTGCCAGTCCACCCGGGGCTGGAGTAAAAGAGAGATGCTTTGCTATTGAAATTTCCTCTTGCTCATGGTCTCTGCCCTGGAGCTACCTGAAAGCAAAGGGCTCTTTGTTCTCATTTCACTCAGTCATTCCCTCTGTTTACTTCCTTTCCATTTCTACTCCCTTGGAAGGCCAGTCTCTCCATTACTACATTCTAAATAGGGTCATTGGGAAGAAAGAGCTTTTTTACCAAGGTTTTTCTTTCACTGTTGTTTGATGGCAGCCCATGCCCTCCTCCTTTTTCCCTTTGATCTTTTCTGTGCTTGGTGGCCTGGACCTGGAGCCTCCACTCTGGCCTTTTGGGAACCTGGGTCCCTTAAGATGCTAATCACAGCTAGTTTTCTTCTTGTGCCAAGAATATTTCTGTTTATCAAGGCTGGGCAGGCGTGGCTTTTTGGGAGGGACAGATATAAGGGCAGGGACAATTTCCAGGTCTCTGGGCTGTTTCTCTTTAACCTGCTTCATTAAAACTCAGGATAAATTCATCCCCCACCCCAGGGTTCCCCTTTAGGTCTTCTGTTGCTCTTTGGATCCACAGGTTACCTTGACTGTCTCTCTGCTGGGTTTATACAGACCTATACTAGACCTAATGTGCTATAGCTACTAAACCTCAATTAGAAAAGGGGCTAGGGTTCATTTTAAATTACCAACGAGATACTACTAAGGCTCCTAAATTTTCTCCATCTCTATTTTTTTCTCTATGGGTGGATATAAGACAAGAATTCTAAAGCAAAACATGTCTGAAGGAGGAAAGGCTAACACTGGAAGGCTGGGGTCAGGGGGAAAGGCATCCCAGAAAACTGTTGTAAAGCTCACTGTTGCTGTGAACAACTGCAGTGTGATCTCAGTGGAAATCTAAAAGAGATGTGGAAGAGGCCCTTCAATGGACTGATGAGGAATTTGGAGTTTCAGGCTGAGGTTTCTCCCAGAATGTGGGTTCTTCATCTTTGCTGTCTCTCCTGGGCTTAGGCATAGCATTCTTCTCCGACTTTGGATAAAGTCTTTAGTCAAAGAGATGTAGACAGGGCAGGGCAGAACCATGAGGTACGTGGAGCACATATTTCAAAAAGGAGCTCACATACAGCATCCACAGCTAGATTGCAGCTTCCTAGAACAGTGGCCCTGGGAACCTGATCTCTGTTAACATGATCCTTCCTCTGGTACCCATTCTGCCATTGATCCTTCTATACACCAAGTGATACAGTTATAGGTCCTGGGAAGTTACCCCAGCAATGGAATTCAATTCCAGTCATGCCACTTTCTGCACTCTTGACTCTCAACTAGGGCCTTCAGCAGAAATGGTGTGTCCTTCTCTCCTCCCTAGATCCTGTATTCACCCTGGTCTTCTGTCTTGGGACTTATCATTCCAATGTTTGTTTGACCCAGCCTCACTCAGTTGTCCTTCCAAGATGTTTACTATCAGTTTTGGGACATAGCAGAGAGCAACTCAACAGGATGCCGTACAGGATCCTCCTATATTCATTTCCTATTTTTAGACATCAGTTGTGCAGAAGATTTGGGGAAATAGAAATGCAAGATGGCCGTGGTTCTGCTGCTGTGAGTCGGCTATGGGAGGCAAGCAAGCAGGATCAGCCAAGCACCTCTCAAGGCACAAGGATGACAAAGGCCAAGGTGAACAGAAGACACAGAACGCTGGGGCTGAAAAATAGAGGTTTGTCTACATGCTTAAGGTCAGAGAAATTCTCCTAGAGAGTGACCATAGCTGAGAGACAGAGAAGAAGTAGGTATTAGTAAGTCAAATCGAGAAGGGAAGGGTACTCTGATGGACAGAATGGAATGTGTCAAGGTGACCTTGAGATATAGAAGGGCATGGGAACTTCATGAGCTGGGTGACAACCAGTGTGTTTACAGAGGAGCCTCTGATGTACTGAGCCCACATGAAAGGGCTGGAAAAGGCCTTGCAAGGAGGAGAACTCAAGAGCGAAAACGAACATCTGAAGAGCTTTCAATAGGAAAATGACATCATGTAAGTCATGTAGTGAAGATCTTCATGGGTCCTGTCAGGGATTAGATAGATAGAAAGTTTGGGCCACTTGGATACAGAGGGGACAGGATGAGGCTAAGCAAGATCCAGGGGACAGTTGGTGATGGAACCATGGGAGGACTGAGGAGGCGTCTCCTATCTTTTATGTATCTTTCACACATATTTGCTTCTGTCCCCGGCCTGAGTCACTCTGACTTCAATGAGTCAGGCTCCCTTCCTTATTCTTTAGGTATTTTTACACTTCTGTGCAATATCCCCAGGAACAGGGCATTGGAAACCTATCAGACGGTGGACCCTATCTGAGCTCACAGCCTGACACTGGATAATGCACAGAAGTAGAGGGTGGTGGGCACAAGTCATAGTGAATAGCCACCTGTCCCAGAACAAAGGCGTTTCCCAGTGCCTAGAACAGGAAGTATTCAGCAGAGACCCCCACATCATGTCTTAATACATGTTTGCTGACTATCTGAATATCTCTTTCCACCACTTCACTTGCAAAAAAAAAATTTTTTTTTTTTTTGCTGTCTGCAAGCAAGAGAGAAATTATAAATGTTTTCTGATTAGTTCCACTATTCAGAGCCCATTCCTAAATCAGCACAGGAAACAGCTAAGCGAAAACTTCTGCCTCTTTCTTCCTTTACAATCTGCCCGTGTCTTATTCTTTCTCCAGCTTTTTTTTCTCTGGTGATGTCTAGACAGTTAAAACAAAACTTTGAAGTGTGCTAGAAATAACTTGTCTCTTAGGATTCCCCACTTTCTCCCTTCTTTGCCCAAATTGTGGTACTCTGAGATCTTAAGAAATGCTACTCACTTGGTGGGCTAGATGTCAAAAGGCCTGGGTTGGGCTACACTAGATCACAGGAAGGCTGAAGTGGGCAACTCTTATCAGATCACTGACTCAATACTTTGTCTGGGGTAGCTCTGCTCTTTGTTAAGTGTGCACTGCTTTGCAAGCTGTATATATCATCATCTGGAAGTGCTAGATGTGTTATCAGTGAGTGAGCGTTTTGTGGAAGTCCCCCCATCCCTCTCTACCTTCTCTCCTCCCTGAGTATTGTTACTGACTTTCTTTGGGACTCACTATCCTTTCCGGAGATCATTGTAATAATCTACTAACCCAAAGCTGGAAACAGAAAAAATATTTTATATCAAATCCCAAGGAAAGAGAACCTTTTTTTCTCCCATGTTTCTCAAAAATCTAACAAATAGAATGTCCCAGAAGGACACCTACAAGATATGATGTTCCCGTATCGATTCTTATTGCGGTTTTCATCTTCCTTGGCTGTGTCCCACGAAGCTGTCTGTCCCTCTGGTAAGGCCTACAATGCAAACACAGAGTGGTTAGCATAGCCTGAGATGGCAACTCACCTCAAGTGCAGATGAACCAACAACAGGAAATAGGTATCTTCTGTGAGGTACTCAGTATAAAGGACTATGTAACCTGAGATGGTGCCTCCCATTCTCTTACCTTGTTTGTTCATTCTCTTACCTTGTTTGTTCATGGGATATTGTTATATCCCATGGCTATCATGAGCTTAAAGTCTAGTCCAGTAGGGAGCCTTTCTTTCTTTCTTTCTTTCTTTCTTTTTTTCTTTCTTTCTTTCTTTCTTTCTTTCTTTCTTTCTTTCTTTCTTTCATTCATATAGTCAACAGATAGCCATTGATCACCTAACATGTTTTAGATACTTTTCTAGGTATTAGAATGCATAGTATCAGCCAAGAACTCGAGAGTATTCAATGTAGCAAAGGACAAAGCAAACCCAATATTAGATAATGAAGATATGAAGAAATAATGCAGGATAAATGGATTGTGATGAGAATTGACATTTCTTACAGTTTAGGAAGTTTCCTGTGAAAAACTCACATCCAAATTCATTCCTTGATAGGATGAAGAAGCCAGTCTCACCGAGAAAAGCAGGAAGTGCTTTCTAGGCAAAAGGAGCAGCTGCCAAGGTCTGTGAGCAACCAGATGACCTTGTTCACAGATGAGAGGAAGGAGGAACAGGGGGTGGGAAAGTTTCAGAAAGGCTGTGAGAATCCAGATGACCCCCAAGCATTGAAGTTCCTGGTTAACACAGAATGTTGTTCTAAGTGTGCTGGGACACCATTGGAGCGCTCTGAGCAAGGAGGTCATCTCATATGGTATAATGTTTCTATATGGAATACAAGCTCTCCCAAGGCAAGAAGAAGCAGAGTGAGTGGTTATGAATTTACTGTGATCATATATCATGATGGCGTTTGAACTGTTGGAACAGGTAGAGGTAGTGGTCATGAGAAAAGCAATTATTTGGTGGTTGTTCAGTTGAGTGTTTCTGACTTAGCTTGCCTCAGAAGCAGAAAAAAGGTTTTGAGTATAAGTGGCTGGGTTTGGAGGCAATCAAAGAGTATGACTGGGTGAATGGGGGAAGCAGACCATCAGGAGAATGAAGCAGACAGGGCAGAATGTACCACTGTACCATTGAGCAAAACTGAGGCTTAATTTACAAGCACATCGCATGTTCAGGGCTCTTGTTTCAGAAGTGGGGAAAGAGTTGAAAGAGAGATGAAATGCTTATCCAGGGTTTCCCTCCGATTACTATTGGAAAACTAATGTTAGAAAACTCTCAAGTTTCTGCCATGGTCTGCAGGAAGTGTGGTTAATCTTTGGTCTTGAGGAAGCCCTCAGGTAACAAAACATAGATGCTTACCAGAGGAAGCCATCAGGTAGGCATACATGAGAACCAGGAATGTGTGGATTTGTACAGGGCACTAACACATGTACTGTAGACAGGAACTGTGTAAGAAAAAAGAATAAAGGCTGATCTCTAGGGGGATCGTTTGATGAACCAGAGGAATGTCATTTACTGCAGTAAGTGGAGAAGTCTGTGGGAGAAGCATGATGGATTGGGCGGGAATCAAGCATTGAGTTTTGGATACATGATACACTTAGAAAAGTGCTCATCGGTGGGCACTGTGTCTTTTTAATATGCTGAGATTAGTAAGAATGATAGTGGCTCCCAACTCTGAGATGCCTCTAAGACATCAAAGCTGAGCTGTGGATCAGGAAGTTTGACACAGAGCTTAAAGCCTAAAGGGAGACAGGAGACAGACGTTATCTACCAGTTTAAGAGGGAGGCAACAACGCAGCTGACAGCCAGGTGAACACCCCTACCAAGTGATCTAGAACAAAGGGAATGTGTAGCCAGTCCCCTCATGGATGAGAGAAATGAGCATTTATAAAAAGTAGGAACAGCTTTACCAAGCCTACAGCTGCGTGCAGGACAAGCCCTGTTTTGATGAGGGTCTCTATCTTTTCCCACAGGACAGGATGGATGTCCCGCCCATGGTCTTTGCATTACTTAGGACACTGAATTTGCACATTCTGATCTACATGGCCGAGGAGAAGACATTCATTCATCTAACACATCAGCCGTACCCGTCTATTCCTTACTAGGTCTAATTAGCCCTCACAAATTAGCTGAAGTTCAGTCATCCAGCAGATCACAGTCTCAGAGGCAGGCAGGCCTATTGGGTATCAAAAAGCAGTATTAGTGCACAGTGGAACCTTTCCAGCTTCAAGTCCCACTTGTGCTGCACCAACTTTTGTGGGTCTTCTAATAGCAAGGGTAACTTGCAAAATGGTTCCGTGAAAATCTATATATACATATTTGACCATAGCCTATAATCACACCCAGCTCTCTGGTTGTAGAATAGCCGCAGCCATAAGCAAATGGACAGACATGGCTGTGTTCCAAGTAATGTTTACTCATAAGCATAGGTGTTTGTTAATATGGGTTTAGCGTGCGTCTATGGTTTGCTGACATTTTTTTCTAGCATGATCATGGGCTTCATCCACACAGTGGGAGGTTATGTAGAACTGGTGTCTGTCATCTTCCCTTCCTGTAGAAACTGAAAGGCACAGGTGAGAGGCCTTTGCCTGGGCTTCCTGTGCAAAACTGCACATTCCAATTGAGCTCTAAGGTATCTTTTCAGCTATAATTGGCTCAGAATGTTGTTCTTTGTGTTTATCACACCCTTAGGTAGGCTTCTTAGAGGGAAAACAAGGCAAATCTTGCCCTCTGGGTACCAAGCATCCCTGTAACCATTCATCCCTTGGCTTAGGTTATCTCTAGATCACAGATGCTCCTTGCTCCTGAGCCTAACTCAGCTTCCAAGTCCATCCTACCTCCTGACCAGGTAGCCCCATATCTGTCAGTCAGCCTGCCAGGTGTCATGTTGTGTGCCAGGGTCTTAATGAATGACAGCACTGTCTTTCATGATATTTGGACTGATCTTTGGAGCAGTAGGTTTTCCACTTGAAATTCTCTGTGATGAAAGTTCACTGTTCATTTCAACATGGTGGTGGGGCAGACTATTTTCATATGGATCCTATGAGAAAATATGTTTAGTATCTGCTATGTGTCAGAATTTAGGTTACAGCTAAGCTTAAGTTCTCTTTATGGCTGCATGCTATCATGGCTTGGGTGTGGGTTCAAACTCTTAAGACCAAGGAGTTGGTCCAGACCAGCTAGGTCACTACATGATAAACTGTTGACACAGGCAATGATTAAAGCTCCCATGGAACTTCTTGTGAAAATGGTAAATTTACCTGCAGAGACAATTTCCCATGAGTCTCCTCTTTGGTTCCCTGACTTTGGTTTTGTTCCTTCCATTTACCCTCCATTGTAATCAGAGTGATCCTTATAAAATGTGGTCAGGGCCCGAAGACCCCTCTTTCCATTGTCTTCAGGATAAGTTCCAAATTGTTTCATTAACTGGCTCTTTATGTCTTCGCCCCAAATGGTCTTTCAGCCGTACTTCTTGCCATGTACAAAGTTCTTCAAATCCATGAGACTTTCTGCATATTCTTTCAACTTGACGTTCTCATCCACTCCTGTAAAATCTTGAAGTATCTTCAAGATCCAGCCCAAGCTTCTTTGTGTAGTCTTTCTGCTTACCCTTCCATTTTGCATCCTCAGAAAGAGTCAGTCATTTCTAGATATTTTCACTCGGACAACTCTACATCTAACAACTTAAACATCTGTCTTCCAACTTGACCACGGGCTTCTTCAGGAAAAGGATCAAAACATCTCCTTTCTAATTCTGTTTCCAGGGCCTGCTGCTGAGACTGTACTTCCTATTGTTAGAATGACAAGTTTGGAATGAACAACATGACAAATGAACACAATGACTTCTGTGCCTGTGGACGGCAAGATCTCAGAACTGTAGAGCCATTGGTGACCTTGAGAATTGCCCTGCCCATAGTGGCCTTCAGGCAGCTAGCTGATCAGGTGATTCACAGTATCAGTTGCTGGGACACCCTCAGTGATGGACAGCTTTCTGTCCCAGAGTTTCTTGCCTGTCTTTTGAGCAGCATCACTGGCTGGATTTCTATTGACTCTGGCCCTGGGCTTTACCTTGGCCTGTCTCCTAGGGCTCAATAGAATAAGCATGAACCCTCTATATTGCAGCATGGCAAAGACCCAATGAAGGTCCATACTAACAACTGTTTAACTTTAAAGCCATGGTCTTGGGTACTAGCTAAGCCAAACCTATCCCAGGGATGCCCAACATAACAGTTATAATGATTGAGGGCTACTTCCTCATGGGAAATACATGCAGGCACCCGCTATAGACCCTGGACCTCTGAACCTTTGTCTCCACTTAACAAGACATAAGGAGACCAGGGATAGTGTATGTGTTTGTGTGTCTGTGTGTGATGGTGTTGACAAATACAGAAGGTGTGCTTAATAGAGCCACCCGAGAGGAGAGGTGGTAATGGCTCCTAATTGGCAGACTTTGATCACCCATATGTTTCCCTTCTTAGGTAGCTGCAGTCTAATAAAGATAATCTCTTCAGAAAAACAAATCTGAGGGGTAAAAGCATGAAAGAGAGACTCATCTCAGTCTTCAAAGTGAAGGAGCCAAGGGCATTATTTTTACATTAGTGGCTAGTTACAGTAGATTGACCAGGGAATGGTGGCAGTCATTAGGAGCTAATCACATTCTTTTGAAACCAAAATTGCCACCTCGTTATACTCCTCTATTATCAATCTCTGGCTCCCTTTTCTTGTTCTTTCTCCTTAAAGTGTGAAGCCCTACTTTTGCATTCCCCTCTGAGTGTAGAACTATTTCCTACTCTTCCCTGTGTTCCTTTCCCAAGGCAGTCACTTAATTTTTGTTCAAAAATGTGTTTGAGGATGTCCTTGTCCCTGGAGAGCTGAGCCTTGGGTATTCACAACATCCTCAAAAGTCAAGTTTGAAAAGGTCTTTTGAGAAAAAAAATAACTTAGATTATTGTATAACCTCAGGAAGTGAGGTCTGGAGGCAGGAAAGTAGT